TGCTCAATTTCCTTTTTCCAGCCACTTATTGCTACTTGTCCCAACTTTTTTGGGATTTGTTGACACTGTGAAATTTTGAATCAACATATTTTCCTTTAAAATGTTACATTTACTCAGATTAAACTTTTGATCTGTCATCTATGTTATATTACGAATAAAATATTGACGTTTGCCATCTCCACATCATTGCATTCAGTTTTTATTCACAATTTGTTTAGTGTCCCAACTTCTTTGGAATCCGGTTTGTATTTTGATGTTCTAGTTTTTATTCTCTTATTTTGAAGTTCGTCAGTAAAACATGTTGAACACAGGAAACATTAGTAAACCATGTTATCAACATTATTAAACGTTAGTTTTTGTTTTGGAGCGGCGCCGGCAGCTCTGCTCTTTAATAACTGACTCATCTAAAGCTGCGGTCCGGATCGGGTCAGAACCTCATGCTCATCCTGTTCCGCCTTCAGGGACAACGTGGGCTTCCCGGTGGTGCAGTGTTGGCCCGACGGCACCTTGGTCCTCTCCAAGCCTCCCAGGACCGGCGGCCTGGTGTCCTTCGGCACGGCGGCGGAGCAGCTGGTGTACGAGCTGGGCGACCCGCGGCGGTACCTGCTGCCGGACGTCACCTGCGACTTCAGCCGGGTGGAGATCCAGGAAGTGCCCGGTACGTCTCACACTCAGGGCTGAGGACATGACCGCAGCTCGAACCGAACATCTGGAGGCGGGTCGGGCCCTCCTCTGAACCTCCTCCACGTGAGCAGAGGCGGACCGTCCTGCTCAGAACCTAAACACGGATCCATGAATTGGACCCGCCGGGCCTCTGCACTCCCCGTGAACTCTGAACACTGATTAAAACTCTCCTCTGGTCATTAGTGCAGGAGGAGCGCTCAGAGTTTCTGAATGTTTGGGTCAGGAGCAGCACGTTTCTCAGCCCGTCTGAGACCCGTCCTGACCCGGTTCTGGAGCAACGCGATGTGAGAAGGTCTCTTCTGCTTTTCTTCTTTTTACCATACCATACCATACCATACCAACTTTATTTATAAAGCACCTTAAAACAACCATAGCTGACACAAAGTGCTGTACATTAAAACACAACATAATAAAAGTGGAAATAAAAACAGTTTAAAAACAGAAAACATACAATTTAAAACTAGATCCTGCTGGTGTTAAAAACATACATTTTAAAAGCATACAAAATTTAAAAACTAGATCCCGCTGGTGTTAAAAGCCAAGTTGAATAAATGAGTTTTTTACCTGAGAAAGATCAAAACAACAGACAAGTTGAGTTGCGTGGAGCAAAATAGGAACAAGAAGAACTTTAAATGTCGTATTTTCACATTTGATTGACAGTGAAAGGTAGTAAACATCTAACCTGCTTAGGATCACCTCGCTGAAATATGACGTTCTCTGAACAACACGTCATCTGATGGAGCAGAAGTTCTAAAAGCTGCAGACACTTCCTGCATTCTTGGAGCCTGTCCAGATGTTACAGGCACTAATGCACCCCCATACCATCAGAGAGGCAGCTGTTTGAACTAATGGTCCCTCTCCTCTTCAGTACAGAGGGCGTGGCCTCAGTGGTTTGGACCCATCTGACCTCAGAACAGTTCTGGGCTCACCTCAGTCCATTAGAAACGAGCCCTGGTCCAGAGAAGATGGCATTGGTTCTGGACAGTGTTCACATCTGTGAACAGAACCAGACCTGATTTAATGCTGTGGCCCCTGAGGGCCTCGTCCTCTGTGGATCAGATTATGGGCTGGACATGATGGAGATTAAAGTCTTTGTTCACGACTTTGGTTCTGAAAGAGTTCCTGTAGTGTTGGACAGCTGAACCTCTGCCCATCTTTACTTCTAACAGTCTGTGAGTGAGCTGCTGGTTCATCACTGCTCCTGCAGCTGCTTTTGATCCAAACATCTGAGCTGTCCTCCAGCCTACAGCTGCTCCTGGAACCACCAGCTGTTCCTGGAACCACCAGCTGTTCCTGGAACCACCAGCTTCTCCTGGAACCACCAGATGCTCCTGGAACCACCAGCTGTTCCTGGAACCACCAGCTCCTCCACCAGCTGTTCCTGGAACCACCAGCCGCTCCTGGAACCACCAGCCGTTCCTGGAACCACCAGCCGCTCCTGGAACTACCAGCTGTTCCTGGAACCACCAGCTTCTCCTGTAATCACCAGCTGCTCCTGGAACCACCAGCTGCTACTGGAACCACCAGCTGTTCTTGGAACCACCAGCTGCTCCAGAAACCACCAGCTGTTCCTGGAACCACCAGCCACTCCTGGAACCACCAGCCGCTCCTGGAACCACCAGCTGTTCCTGGAACCACCAGCTGCTCCTGGAACCACCAGCTGCTCCTGGAAC